CTTTTCCGGTTCCCGTCCCCACATTGCACAGCAACATCTTATATGGACAAGCTTTCCACCCATAACATATTAAGGAAGTTCATGTGCACACTAGCGCCGCATAGTGAGAGAGTTCTGAATTAATATAACCACCATTCGAACTTGGTCACTTGAACAACTTTTCTGAAGACAGCAACGTTCTATATGGCCAGGTTCTCGAGATACAGTTTATATAGAAAGTTCACATGCACACTAGCGCTGCGTAATGAGAGAGTTCTGAACTAATATGAACACCATACAAAAGAACATGATCACCTGAAGAAATTTGCTGAAGACAGTAACCTTCTATATGGTCAGGATTTTGAGATACAGCTTATATAGCAAGCTGACGTGCACACTAGCGCTGTGTAGTGAGAGAATTCTGAACTAATATTGTAACGCGACAGCCCGTCGAGCTTCCCTTTTTAAAGAAGGATGGCTTAAGCGCCACTCCTATAGGAGACCATCCAACAGTTGGTAGCTTGCCCGGCTTTGAGACCTTCCTAGGGAGAGGATCAAGTTTCCCGAATTTCGGGTAGGAAGCTGACTGGCTGACTAACACGCGTTCGGCGTACTTCACGTAAGACGCGCAAGATATCCCTAATTCCTATAAGACTTACGCAAATCAAACTCCGACAATCGGCCAAAGACTAGGAATACGTGAACGGGGGTTATCATCACCGGCCTAGCCCTAATCGTCCCCGTTTGTACTGAAACGCTTCCAATTCCAGAGTTGCCAGAAAATTAGTCAGATTCGGGCTGACTACCCAATAAACATCAAATTCCAAAAACTACAAAACGAACGCGAAGTAACATGAAACCTCAAAAGACATTAACCAAACTATCTCTCATTGGTACACAACAGAAAACATTCAGTGTAACGTAAACTCATTTATTCCAAGCGGGATCAACATTTGTACAGCTCTATTCTACCATAAAGCTCAAAGCACAGAAATTCAAACGTTTACAAAGACTTTATTTCTCGTAGCTTTGTTCCCCTTTTCATTGCCTAGGCCTAGTTGTTTGTCATCCTTTCTCCTTACGTACTACCTATCTTTCCTAGCGTGTGCGATTATTGTATCTGTCCCATGTACTCCTCCTGTGTGCACTCTGCGGTAACTCAGCGATCGATTGCTTCAATGGTCATCTTCACATTTCTTTAATTGGATATTCTAAGGGCTACTCCCGTTCATTGACGGCTTACGGGATAGCTGTATTTGAGTGTGTCTCAAACATGCATGCATTTTCTACTCACGACTTAGGTTTTACGTGATGTCCTTTGGTGGGGAGACTGGCGGCGGTACCGAAGCTGCTTGGTGCACTACTCCGGCCCAGAAACGATCGCGGATGCGACAATGGCTGATGATGTGTCTCCCTCACCGATTCGCGGGCTTACGCGACAGCGTGGTACAAGCGGTCGTGTGTACGTTGGCTGAACGTACTCTCCTCGACGAAGGGCCTGCCTGCCCAGGGTACGACTTGACGATGTACCCAGGGAATCTTTGCAACGGATAGGTGGGGTCAAAGAGTGGTTCCAACGAAATGGTGGTGTGTCGGCAAACGACCTGTGCTGCCACGAATCTATGGATATAACGACGCATATTTCCTCTTAGTTTACGCACCATCTACAAACTTTGCACTTTACCGTTTTCTCTAAGACACACGCTAACCACTAACCGCCAAACAGCTAATATAGCTTCGCTCACTACTGTTAACTAGGGGAAGGAAAATCTAGTATAAATTAACACCTTATCGAGACCACATGTTACAATTCACCTTTTTACACACACCACGGCACGGATCAAAAACTGACCACTCTTGCCTCTTCCACGTATCAGTACAAAGTGGACGAGTTAGGGCTAAGTGTGTCCTCAGATACCACGCTTGGTGACCTTTGTCCCCGGTAATCGTGATTTCTGACGAAGGCCAAAATCACGAAACCGATTCTCAAAATTGAGCATGCGACAATTCCTATAGAAATAGGGACATCTCATTCCACCGAACGAATATTAATCGTCCAGCCACATTCCTCTCCCGAGTTCGGGAAAGTGCAAAGCCGAACAGGAAAGGTCAATGCATTCCTAATTGTTTTAGGCGCAGGTCGATGCACGCGAATCGACGCGGTAATGTGAACAAGAAGCCACGCTCAACAGGCTATCGGGACATGTGCTTTGCGCTTGTAGCTAACGTGTACGGGAACTCATTTGAACAGTTTTGTGGCTAGGGTAACTCTTTTACCCATTCTAATATTGGGTGTTCCTTAGCGGTGAACACATTTAAGATTTATTTGAAAAAACGATATTTCATATTTTAATTAATAAATAACATATAACAGAATAAATAATTTATAGAAAGCATAACTATGATTGTAGTTTGTAAATGTTCATTGCTAATGTGCTAATCATAAAGCGTACTTGCTACAATATAGCCACCATCCGAAAGGACTTGGTCACTTTAACAACTTTGCTGAAGACAGTAACTTTCTATATGGCCAGGATTACTAAATATTCTATGTTGGACCTATGATCGATATATTATAGCTCCCGTCATAAGTAACATAAAAGTGAAGCGCCTCTAAGGGCGTAGTTCCCAATTAACCCTGAATTCAATGACACAGGCTTGTTGGTCTATCCCAGAACAAACATTTGGTCGAAGACAGTATAGCTTTATGTATTGAAACAAATGAGATAATCCACCACATCCCCTATTAGTGAAAATCCCATAAGCTGTGGGTATCCTTATTCGCGGTTCCTTATTCACGCCCCCGGTACCCCGGCAATAAGGATTCCTGACTGTATTAATTGAGAGCTATATTGTGTTGGAGTGTTCGACTGTGAGGTTTTACAATAAACAGTTTCTGCTTGGCAGTCTGGCAATCACTCAATCAGAACAAATAAATTTTGTAATTTGTCCCTACGTTTCGGCTCTGATTAGGGCCTTCTTCAGGGGAAAAAAAGTTGGATTTGTTCTTTGTTTAAATACTGTTAAGCTGTCAAACAGTATTTAGACAAAGAACAAATCCAACAATTTTTCCATTGGAGAAGGCCCTAATCATAGCCGAAACGTAGGGACAAATTACAAAATTAATTTGTTCTGATTGAGTGATTGCCAGACTGCCAAGCCGAAACTGTTTATTGTTAATTGAGAGCTTGCAATGTCTTAACCATTTTTGCATTAATACAATTTAGGGGGTTAGAAGGAAAGGGATGTAAGTGACTTTCTCGATTCATCGACTTTCTCTACATAGTTTGATAAAGGAGGTTCTCATCTAGCATCCAGAATGGCACACGAATCAAGGAATGTGTTTGTAACTGAATTTTTAACGAAAGAGAAATTCGATGAAGAGAATCGATCAAAGTCAATTACACCGCGTTCCTTCTAACCCCCTCAATTGTTTGACAAGTACAATCATACTCTATGCCCAGGAAAGTTGAGAAATGTTCCAACCCAATAAATTCCTAGACCGGACCGGAAATTGAACCCAGCCACCTCCGGCATGGTCTTGCTTTGTAGCTGTGGCTGTATCGACGGAGCTGAGGGAGGCTTATCTGATCTCATCTCATCTCATCTTATTTTATCTCATCTCATCTCATTGCATCTCACCTCATCTTATCGAAACATTCCTCATCTTACCTCAGCTCACCTTAGCTCACCTCACCTCTACTCATATCACTTCACGTCACCCCATCTGTCCTCACATCATCTTACCCAACATCGTCTTATTTCATCGCACCTCATCTAAAATCACCTCGTATCATCTCAACTCATCGCAGTACACCTCACATCATCTCACCTCACCTCATATCACCTTACCTCATATCACCTCACCTCATCTCACCTCAACTCACCTCACCTCAACACTCCTCACCGAACCTCAACTTATCTAACTTCACCTCACATCACCTCAATAAGCATCACCTCATCTCACCTAACTTCACTTACCCTCACCTTACCGCAATTCACCTCACCTCAACTTTCCTAAACGTAATATACCTACTATGGTAATTTTCAAGTCCCTTTGAATTGACATTGACATTTGAAATTTCTTTGAAAAAAAAATCCTTCTTCTCCCGAATTTCTTTGGAGCTACCATCAGAACTCGTCTTGAATTTTTTCTCCGAATTTTTATTTATTAATCCGAATTCCTTGTAAATTCGATCTCACCAGGGCTACTAATCAATTATTTGCAAACATGGCAGCCACCCTGCGGTTCGATTCATAACCCCAAATATAAGGCTGTACAAATAATGGTGATGATTTGTGATGTGTTAGGGGTTGCACAAAAGGTTCGATGCCGATTTTTGCGAATTACTATGGTAAATTTGTAAACTTTATTAAAATCGCTCTAATTTTGGTTCAAGTTTTCCAAATGCTTTTAAAAATGAATATTGAAATAATTAAACAAACATTCTTTGAAATGTGTCGCCACATTGTTGTTCAACCAACAACTTGTCACTTTGGTCTTAAAATAAAAATCCCACCATGAGCTGCACAAACTACGAAAGTCACCATTTCCAATCCCGATAGTTAATTTAAATTTGTTTGCCATAATCCAGAGCAACTCGTTTGGCCGTAAAAGCAGCCACTGCTCCCTTTCGTTCCACTCAAAACGCCAAACACTTGTTTATCTGTTTGCAAATGGTGCTCGCTACTGGTAGCCGCCAAGAAATAGGCCACCCCCGATAGAGACCACCGAAACGGGGCGATGGAAAACTATATTTACACGGTGAAGCACTACACTCCGAAGGGTCGGATCTAATTTTCACCACACTTGAAGCTGCGACAAACAACGAACGCCAAACGTCACGCTTTGCCGTCCTATCTTGTTTGCATCGCAAGCGTTCCTCTACTGCCGACAGGATCCTAAGGTGAAACTTGCGTGCCACCGCCATCGGCGAAACATGATTTATAATTTGATAATTTTCATTTTCCCAAAGTTGTGCGTGTTTACTCATTTTGAATTCCATCGTGCTTCGTTACAGAATCGAGCAAGTGCCCAACACCGAGCTGCGTCGGATTAGGACACGTAACAGGCCTTTACTCTCATCATCGTAGCCTGTCTGGATGTCCTCGGCGGGATAAGGTCTCGTCTGAATGTAAGTGTTATTCGTTTTCACTCCCTAGTGGCTGGTGACAAGCATTTGATTCGATTTTCAGTACTAGCGCTTCACGAAACGATCCTCAAATGCCCAACGCCCGGGTGTAACGGACGAGGTCACGTCAGCGCCGGTCGCAATTCCCATCGTAGTCTTTCCGGTTGTCCGAAGGCAGCCGCCAGTAAAGCCGCTGCTCGTGAACTCAAGTACCAGAATGGTTTACTGTTCCGTCAGAAGCTTCATTCAGCAGTACTAAACTACCAGCAGTTGAACGAATACCGATCGTCACTGGTCAATCAAGTTCCACGGAGTCGCAGTACCTCTCCCGTGGATAATAGAAGTACCGTGGTCGAAGAACCGCACAATTTGAAGACCACTGAACGGAAGAAAGAGCAGCCCCGGGAGGAAACAGTTAAGAGTAAGACTGCAGAGTCAGCGGAGGAGGAGACATTGGTGATCAAAACTGAGAAACCTGATTTTGACAGCGAGATACCAAATAGGGACACCATGCTCGACAGTAGCAGCTACGGTCGGGAGACTGACTACCGATACGGTCAACAGCAGCAATCACATCAACAGTATACGAATGGCCACATGGGAAGCTCTGCAGTCGGCTACGACTTTGGAGGCTACCCAACGCGATCCTACGATTCCGGAGCATTCGAACGGTATGACCCTGGGTACGGTTCCACTGCCCGATATGCTCCATACGGCTTAATGGAAGAGTACAGTACATCCACTACAACGGCGGCGGTGGGGTTTCAACAGGCTCCGGGTCAGACTACCAATCTTGGTCTTACGGAGTCGACCCAACCGGTACTGAAGCAGGAAACGGACGACAACAGCAGCACCCAGACTGGTCCGATATGCCCTCGACCGGTTTACCAGCAGCAATACGAACCGAACAACAACAACAACAACAACACCAGCAACAACAACACCAGCAACAGCAGCAATCATGGTGGAACGGCAACACAGCCAGCGGGTCCTACTACGGTGGGTTCGGGCTTTTCGGCGATCAATTTGAGTGTCAAGACCGCTTCGGATACGGCTACCGAGGGGACTATCCAGGACAATAGCTCGCCAAGGGTTGAACGGGCTCCGGAAGCTGACCTGTCCTCTGGAAACATAACTTCGTCCGGACAGAGTCCCAGGGCTACGGAGGATGCAGTCGATGGGTCTCAGGTTAAAAGTCCGCAACGTCAAACCTTAGATTTAAGTGTTAACCGGTTACCCAATAGGTGAGGATAGAATCGATTGAAGAGTTCACTTAAAATGCCTGTCAAATTTTCTTACAGTACTGCTAGTCCGCACAGCAATCATCGAGCTTCTTCCGGATCTCCGGTGCCGAGATCCCCGCAAGCCGAACCAGTGGACTTCAGTGGCCCGTCCCGTCCAGGATTGGGATTCGGTTTCATGGCTCCACCACCGGCCATGGGCTACAGCCGGGAGTCCACACCGGACAGCGCTTCCTCGCACTACATCTCCGATGGCTATCGGGACCACAGCGGTAAGTAGCCATCACCTACACATAGTTTAGCTCTCCTTCAAAGCGAAAACATTAAAATGATTGCCTCAAGGGGACATCAAAAGGCATCAAAGCGAAACATCATAACGACCATCACATAAAGGGTGATTATTACTAGCCAGGTGGAAATTTTTCCCCCTCCCCAAGCCGGTCATCATGAAAAAGAATGCATATTTTCTCGTTTTAAAATATTTCCCCCCTCGCACCCCAAACCGCCCGCAGAAACGAGGGGATCGACAAAAGAATTTCACTCTCCATTGCCCGGCTAATGAGAAAGTGTTTTACACGGCTGCCTTTCATGTTTCTCGGAGACAAACATTTACGGAATTTCCACTGCTGCCCCTGTGGGACTTCCCGTTGAAAGATTTCTAATTATGTAACTAGTGCCGTTTTTTTTCCCTTCCAGGTTACAGCCCACATCCTGGCTACATGGAGTACGCAGCAAACCCATCCGGTTACCCAGGCTATGGCGCACCGGGATCGTACCAAGGCTGCAGTCCGTACGGTGCTCCACCTCCGCCGCACCACCACCATCTGTACTCGTCCGGTGCGGCGGCGGCGGCGGCGGCGGCGGCGTATTCGTCGGCCGGTGGTCACTACTCGATGCCACCACCGAGTCACATTCCGTCCCAGGAGAGGCTGCTGCAGGAAGGGTAGGTTTGCACCTTGTCCATCATAGTTTGATGATGTGAGTGTAAAAGGAATGCACCAAACATTATTTCAGATTGTCGGGCCTGGGGCGAGCGTTTCACGCCAGTTCACAGGAGCTGAAATGTCCCACTCCGGGGTGTGATGGATCCGGACATGCCACCGGGAACTATTCGTCCCACCGGAGTTTGTCCGGGTGTCCGAGGGCGACGAAGCCGAAGAATAAGCCACGGGACGGGTCGGAAGCGGAACCGTTGAGGTAATTGTGGAATGGGTTTCGATGAGCTTTGCAAATGGTAGAAGGGCAATTTGTTGATAAATTGTGGTCGATAGTTTGGGATGTTATTAACTCAACTACCTAGCAACGAATAGTGTTTTGTAATTTTTCATAACATTGGGGAATAAGGGAAAAAATCTTTTAAATATTTAATTTTCAATTTTCACCGATGAAATATTTTTAAACTTCTGCATCCAGTTTCCAATCTTATTGTCCAAGTTTTAACGAAAGAAAAAAATCCGGGTTTCATGCAAGTTCGATATTTTTTTTATCTAGTTCGTTTATTTGTAAGGCTCAATCACGTTAGCTTTACGGAGCCGATAATTCATTGTTATTTGTTTGTAACAAAATTCACTTAATTCTATAACGGCGCCGGTGGTGTAGTGGTAAGCGTGATTACCTCTCACCCCAGCAGGCCTGGGTTCAATCCCAGTCGGCGCCGCCGGGATGTTCTGAGGCATAACATCTCTGATCACGCCTTCCTTCGGATGGGAAGTAAAGCCGTTGGTCCCCGGTTCATGAGTTGATGGGTCGATAGGTAGGGTCCAGGTGTGGGAGCTGCCTTCCTGGCACGTCGGTAGCATTGGTGCTCAGCACGGAAAACAAGATCGACGGAAAAAACAAACCAAAGGAAAAAAAAAAAAACTTTATTCTATGAACGTGTCTGTAAGACAACCATTCAACGATACCTTAAACGACCTTTGCTGGAGGTAGTAACTGGTGATTTTAACCCGATATACAGAAAGTTGAAGTTACAAAGCTTTTCAATGTCTAACAATGCTATGGCTGTGGACTTGGATACAGCCATACTTGAGCAAACGATTGAGAATGAGTTTCTCGAACAATTTGCTCAGCGCTGAAAGGAGGCTGATTGGTCTGTAGCTTGAAGACAATGTTGGATCCTTACCGGGTTTGCGGATTGGTATGATTTTTGCTACTTCCAGATGCTTGGAAAGTAGTACCGTTCCAAGCATCTGTTAAAGATAGCGGATAGCGGTTTCATGCTGAGTCTTTTCAAGATCAAGTTGAATATACCGTCAAACCCGGGAGCTTTCATGTTCTTGGTGTATTTCAGCGCTGAGCAAATTTGTTGTACTGTAATCATATCACCTGATCATCGAGCGGACTTTTGATAGTCGAGCCAAGCAAATGCGATGAAGCGACCTGCTCACCTTGTTGAAATTTACAACAATTCTTTTGTTTTGATGGTAGAAGAGTACGTGCAGACATAAATTGTAAGTATGGAATAATTTTAGCTCAAGTCCTTTCTGCAGGTGTCCAATCCCAGGTTGCGATGGTTCCGGTCATTCAACAGGAAAGTTTCTCTCCCACCGAAGGTAGGTATTCCGGAGGCAAGACGCAACTTGAACCTTGAATGTGATATGTTCATTTGTGTTCTTTTCATATAGCGCCTCTGGTTGCCCCATTGCCAGTAGAAACCGTTTGCGAGTCATTGACAGCGGAGGTACACCGATCGGTGGACTCAAGTACGGTAGCGATTCCGGTTGTACCACTCCCGGTTGTGAAGGTAAAATCACGGTATACTCCTAAAAGCTTAACAACTGTCATTTGTTTGTCTTGTTTCAGTGTCACCAATCCACAAGAAAATGAAGTACATCGATGAAGATTCGGAAAGAATGTCCAAGAGCTACAGTGGTAAGTGCTGGAGTGAAAAGAATCGAGTAGTTCCACGCCAAATGACGATCGATCGATTTGATGCGACCTGCTCCGATTTGCATGAAACTTTGCTTTGTTATGGTTAATCATTCACATTTGAGCTGAAATTCGTTCATATTGAATCAAACAGAAAACTTAAAAATCCATTCCAATCGAGATGACGTCTGAGACAAAGCTGGAGGAACATTTTAGCTTTTCAGGAAAAATAATTACTCATAATTGCATTGCATTGTGTAGTGCCATTGGGCACTTGTAAGGATACCCGTTAACTCATTCACTAAGTATCCCAATTTTTTGCAATGTTGGGTAAATTCGACTCAATTTTGAGTTACTCCCATTGGCTGTGTACTTATATACTCAAAGACTTAAGAAACGGAAAACATTTTTTATATCTATTCAAGCAGATTTTTATGAAAAATCGTAGATTTTTTTTTAAAGAAATCCAACTTAATCCGTGTAACGATGTGACAACTGCCATATCTACAAACAAATTGAAACAAAACTAGATTTTAAATTATAATTATTTATTGTATTTGTGTGGATTACATATTTAAATTCTCAAGTGACACAGATGTGTCTATTCATCTTTTGTTAATTTGAATTTTTAATAATGACTATTTAAGTTCCTAATAAGATAGGATAAGGCCAGTTAAAAGCATTTCACCGCCTTCAAGAACATGGCCATACGTAGCCCCTTCTTCCAACACCACCTCCCCTATCGTTACACCTGGAGATCACCACAGCAGACGGAATCGCAAATCGACCACGTTCTGATTGACGGACGGCACTTCTCCGACATTATCGACGTCAGAACCTATCATGGCGCTAACATCGACTCTGACCACTACCTGGTGATGGTCAAACTGTGCCCAAAACTTTCCGTCAATGTACAGTACCGACGCCCGCCACGGTACAACCTAGAGCGACTGAAGCAACCGGATGTCGCCTTAGCATACGGGCAGAATCTCGAGGCAGCGTTGCCAAAGGAAGGCGAGCTCGCTGTGCCCCCTCTAGAGGACTGCTGGAGTACAGTAAAAGCAGCCATCACCGACGCAGCCGAGAGCACCATCGGGTACGTGGAAAGAAGTCGACGGAATGAATGGTTCGACGAGGAGTGCAGAGCGATTTTGGTGGAGAAGAACGCAGCGCGGGCGGTAATGCTGCAGCATGGAACCCGACAGAACGTGGAACGGAATAAACAGAAGCGGAAACAGCAGACCCGCATCTTTCGGGAGAAAAAACGCCGCCTGGAAGAAGCGGAGTGCGAGGAAATGGAACTGCTGTGCCGTTCCCAAGAAACACGGAAGTTCTACCAGAAGCTCAACGCATCCCGCAACGGCTTCGTGCCGCGAGCCGAAATGTGCAAGGATAAAGACGGGAGCCTCTTGACGGACGGACGTGAGGTGATTGAAAGCTGGAAGCAGCACTTCGATGCGCACCTGAATGGCGAGGAGAACGTAGGCACGGGAGACCAGCGCAATGGAGGAAACGACTACGTCAGTGCAGCAGAGAACAGAACTGACCCAACTCCCACGCTAAGGGAAGTTAAGGACTCCATTCAGCAGCTCAAAAACAACAAAGCAGCTGGTAAGGATGGTATCGCAGCCGAACTCATCAAGATGGGCCCAGAAAAGTTGGCCACCTGCCTGCACCGGATGATAGTCAGGATCTGGGAAATAGAACAGCTACCGGAGGAGTGGAAGGAGGGGGTAATCTGCCCCATTCACAAGAAAGGCAACCATTTGGAATGTGAGAACTTCAGAGCGATCACCATTTTGAATGCCGCCTACAAAGTGCTATCCCAGATCATTTTCCGTCGTCTATCACCTGAAATGACCGAGTTCGTGGGAAGTTATCAAGCCGGCTTCATCGACGGCCGATCGACAACGGACCAGATCTTCACCGTACCAATACCAGGCCCCAACGCATCATTTGTTCATCGACTTTAAGGCGGCATACGACAGTATCGACCGCACAGAGCTATGGAAAATCATGGACGAGAACGGCTTTCCTGGGAAGCTGATCAGACTGATCAAAGCAACGATGGACGGTGTGCAAAACTGCGTAAGGGTTTCGGGTGAACTATCCAGTTCATTCGAATCTCGCCGGGGACTGCGACAAGGTGACGGACTCTCATGCCTACTCTTCAACATCGCTCTAGAAGGTGTAATGCGATGAGCCGGGCTCAACAGCCGGGGTACGATTTTCACGAAATCCGGTCAATTTGTGTGCTTTGCGGACGACATGGACATTATCGCAAGAACATTTGGAACGGTGGCAGAACTATACACCCGCCTGAAACACGAAGCAGCAAAGGTCGGACTGGTGGTGAGTGCGTCAAAAACAAAGTACATGCTAGTAGGCGGAACCGAACATGACAGGATTCGTCTAGGAAGACGGGGATACTTTCGAGGTAGTGGAGGAATTCGTTTACCTTGGATCCTTAATGACTGCTGACAACAATGTGAGTCGTGAAATACGAAGGCGCATCATCAGTGGAAGTCGTGCCTACTACGGGCTCCAGAAGAAACTACGGTCAAAAAAGATTCACCCCCGCACCAAATGTACCATGTACAGAACGCTAATAAGACCGGTGGTTCTCTATGGACACGACACATAAACTATGCTCGAGGAGGACCTGCAAGCACTCAGAGTTTTCGAGCGACGTGTGCTAAGGACGATCTTCGGCGGTGTGCAGGAGAACGGTGAGTGGCGGCGAAGAATGAACCACGAGCTCACTGCACTCTACGGCGAACCCAGCATCCAGAAGATGGCCAAAGCCGGACGGATGTGGTGGGCAGGGCATGTTGCAAGAATGCCGGACAACAACCCTGCAAAGTTGGTGTTCGCTACTGATCCGGTTGGCACAAGAAGGCGTGGAGCGCAGAGAGCACGATGGGCGGACCAGGTAGAGCGTGATCTAGCGAGCATTGGGCAAGACCGAGGATGGAGAGCGGCAGCCGCAAACCGAGTATTGTGGCGTACTATTATTGATTATGTCTTATCCTAAATGTGATGTTGTACAAATAAATGTATGTATGTATTAGCTTATTGCCTGCTCTCAACTTGGTGTTCTAAATGCACTTCCACAGTTATTAATTGAGAGCTTTAGATGCCAATACCAATTCATGAATTCGTATATGTATTGTGTGGCAAGCACAATGATACTCTATGCCCAGGGAAGTCGAGAAAATTTCCAACCCGAAAGATTCCCTCGACCGACCCGGGAATCGAACCCACCGCCTCCGGCTTGGCAATACCGTACCTTCACTGACTTCACTGACATAGTTGCAGATGCTTATTATCAAATATCAGACTTTATTTTCATTTTATACGATAGATGACAACAGGGGAGTTTGGTAAAAGAGATGATCAATCCGATTCGTGCCTTCCTCAAATTTACCTTTGCTCGCTTTCTACTCTCTATTTACAATATTCACACTGCCGTACTCTAACGGAACTATCAACTCTGCACTTTCATCTTCGCATCTAAAGGCTGACTAAAAGTAAAATGGTATGCACAAAAAGACCTGTAATTCGTGATTCAATAAGTTTAAAAAGTTCATTCATGGTTACTTACCAGTACTTTTAATAAAACTTCAAAGTTACAGCATTCGATGGTTACATTTCTCCAGATAGAAGTAAATCTCAAACGTTCCTCTTGATGGAGCCCATTAGCTTGGGGACAAAATCGATCTTGTTCGCAGCATACCACCACCATGGAGTAGTGGCAGCTGACCAAATCGGGCCAAAAGATGGCTTTGCCCCTATGCTTGCGGATGAACGGCAATACACGCTGCTTCAGGCAGTCTTCGATGTAAACTTGGGATCTCATCGTCGAGGATGTGACGAATGGTTCCCTTTTCAGGCCACAATTGCAAATCGCTTGCCAAATCATGGCCTTCTTCGCAAACTTGAATCTTCCCGGAACATCCCCACGTCCAGTCGCGATGTAAAACTTATGACTGGGAAGTTGCTTAAAATCGAGTTTGACGTATCAGCGAGTTCTGTTCAAGTTCGCTGTATTTTCATTGGACGGAACGAGATTCCAGACAACAAGAGTGATGAGCTTCTGCATCTCAGCCACATACGTCTTCCACTTTGACTGTGATGGGGCAACGGAAACCAACAAAACAAACAGGTAGGGGAAATTCTCCTCTACCCGATTGTGTTTAAGGTTTGCGAATGTAGGTTTTGGTTCGCGAGAAAATGGCCCTCCAAGGTTTGTTCACAAAATGGAGTTGAGGCCAGGCATGGAAAATCATTTGCATTCATTTCGTGCATTCATTTACATTCATTTGCCCCTAACTTTTTTCATCAACAGAATTCCGCAAAATAATGTATAAAGCATTTGTAGGTTTTGTTAACAACTCAAATCCGTATCTCTTATGCATGATGAACCAGAGCAAACAGAAGCCACTACTGTTTTTCAATGAATGTATTTTACATTCACTGAAAAACAGTAACAAGTTCTGCCCGCTCTAATTCGTGATGCATAAGAGATACAGATTTGAGTTATGGGCAAAAGTTGTAGCTGTACAAAACCTACTAGACCCCTATACATCATTTTGCGGAATGCTGTTGATGACAAGGCAAATGAATGTAAATGAATGCATGAAATGAATGTAAATGATTTTCCATGCCTGGTTGAGGCCTTTTCAATTGTTGGACTTGAGTTGTCACCTGTGCTTGATGAACGTGGAATCCTACGAGTGGACAAAATACAAGCAGCGAATGATACAAGTGATGCAAAGTTTCCCATAATTCTATCGAGGAAACATCGATTGACTCACCTTATCATCGATTTCTTGCATAGAAAGTACCATCATGGAAATCCGGAGACTGTAGTTAACGAGGTTAGACAGCAGGATCTCTTCGGACCACTCCTTGTTAAGATCGGTCGGAGCAATGCCAAGAGATGGGTCGCTCTATTTACATGCTCGACGATCCGTGCTATCCATGCCGAAGTTGTACATACACTTTCAACTAAATCCTGCGTCATAATTTCGTGAGCCGTCGTGAAGCGCCCTACCTTTCGTGAGCTGTCGTGGAGCGTCTCTGGAAATCCATTCCGACAACGGGCGAGCTTCTGAGGAGCCGATGAATTATTACGGGAACAAATACGAAACCTTCACCAACACAAACACGAAATACGTATTCATCCCTCCGAGCGCGCCGCATATGGGTGGATCGTGGGAGCGGATGGTGCGTTCCGTCAAGTCAGCGTTGGAAGCAGCTAATGGGGGACGGAGATTGGACGGTGAAGGTCTACTTACTTTGGCGATAGAAGCAGAAGGAATGGTGAATTCGAGACCGTTGACGTACCTCCCTCTGGATTCCGAGGAGGCGGAAGCCCTTACTCCCAACTATTTCCTCCTGGACAGTTCGAGTTGCGTATGACAACCAGCAGCGGAACCACTACGCAGCAACTGGGGCCAGGTGCAACATCAAATGGATACTTTCTGAAAACGCGTCAGTATCTATTAACTCTTACGCGACGAACAAAATGGTTCGGTGAGATAAAACCTGTGGCAGTTGGGGATCTAGTGTTTATCGTGGATGAATGGTTGGAAAACAGGTCGAATTTGCAAGGTCTATGCGGGGCAAGATGGTCGGATTCATCAAGAATTGGTTCAAACAAACAGGGGTCTCATTGGAAGACCAGTATCTAAATTAGCAATCTTGGATGTGGCGCAGGTCAGTAAAACTGCACACAAAACTTCCGGTGACCTGTATTACGTGGGAGGATGTTGCGAAATGGGTGCACTGCCTCAGCATCGCAGCCACAGCGCCAGAATGTCCAACGCCGATGAAGACCACAACTGGGTGAGAGGAGATTTCCGGCTACAGTTGTCAAAGGTCTGCTGGATATTATTCGACGAGCAGCGAGTGAGAAAGACGGCAAACAGTTTGCAAAATTTGTTTCTAACTAAATTGTTCTACTTAAAACTAATTCGAAGGCCGAAATTTCTAGAAGCTTGCCCCACACACACACACATAACCTGTGCCTGCTAATAGAAACGGTCGAACCAAAAAAGAACCCCTGGTAAGAACAACATAGATGAAGACTAACTAACTCATGTTTTCCTTGTTTCAAAATCATCCTCGGCAGACAAAGCCGAGCCTTGTCACTATCAACAAGGCATTAAAAATAACAAGGACTAAGATGTGTTCCTTTGATTACTGAAAAATCCTGTTCGCTTGGTTTGAAGTTGTCTGGACGAAGTGGGTTTTGATTTCAACTTCAGTAGTTGCACTGTGCAGGATCCAACAGAGGTGATCGAACGGAAGTACAAACCGGCAGAAAATGTAGCATCTGTTGCATCGCTGAAGCCGTGACCTTCCAAGCATAAGTAGTTGAATAAGAACGGAGAGCCTCTGCTGGAATTCCAGCTAACGCGTCCCAGTCCAGTTGGAGATTATGAATTGGTTTGATGAGCCCTAGTGGATCGAGCAAACTGCTGATTTTCGGCAGTGTTGCCAATTTGATCAGCGGGAAGAATTCCTTCCATTTTGGCTGCTTGATGGACAGGAGACCGATGGCAGGATCCCATCGTAAACTCAACGTCGTAACGGAAGCTTCGTGGTCCAAATCGAGCAACGTATTCAGTCTCCCAGAGCTTTTTTGAAATAGCATTCAGAACGACCTGATTGTTGGAGGACCATTGCCGGAGTGAAGGTCCTGCTTGTCACTAGCAGCATACTTAACACAAAACGGGTGTGGAAACTTCTATGTCACTTATGTCAGTCACAATCAAGTTGCTGCAACTTTTTGTGACGAAAGTGTGCAGCTTGAACTGGTAGGTTCAAGAGATTTAGCATCATTGAAACCGGCCAACAGATTATCTACGAAGGAGTCACGATCAAGCACTGAAGTTGCAAGCGAGAATTGTTGTTCTTCGTCGGAAACAGAGCATAGCTGGTGCCATAGATCTTTTTGACGTTTGATAGTCTTTCTCTATCCAGCACACATGAATGAATGAACGGTTTTGTAGGAAGTAAGAGCAAGTAAGCTGTTGATAAATAAATATAAAACAAATCTCGGTTTTGTCCAGTGTATGAATTGATCAACTGTAGAACAATAAGAAAAAGGAGGGTATATGAAGTACACTGCAGTTTCCAGTCAGTTACAGTTTTCCGACGAATCTATACACGAGCGGTTGAGATGTCGAAGAGGAGCGTTCTCAAGGGTAAAATTGGCCCGAGGTCCGGCTCCAGGCCTGATCAGCCTGGACGGCCCGGACACGACAGGTTTGTTTTCCCACTAATCTGTTTCCCTCTTGCTTGCACTCGTTCGATTTAAATGGTGCAGTAGTGTGCGCCGATTAAACGTCAAAAAGCTCTATAGGTGACGGTGTGAAGCTGGAAGACCTTCAGTGCAAACAGATGTTCGCAGAAAATACGAAAACAAGTGACGATCTTAACCAGCAGAGCAGGCAACATATTTTTCAATGAAAGGCCAGTGTTCTAACGGCATGAGGCATCGAACATTGTTCGAAGCTTGGTCGTAGTGCTGTCCATCTTGATCACTGCATGATGGGGAAGTAAATAGTGAGATTTGGTGTCTCTCATCGGGACTTCATTCCCGCTTGTGCGCTTTCGTCAAATTTTCGGGGATGAACTTTTGATACAATGCTTTCTTCTCCGAATCTTGGGACACCGGCCATTCTTCGATGTAAACTTGGGATCTCATCGTCGAGGATGTGACGAATGGTTCCCTTTTCAGGTCACAACTGCAAATCGCTTGCCAAATCATGGCCTTCTTCGCGAACTTGAATCTTCCCGGTACATCCCCACGTCTAGTCGCGATGTGAAACTTTTGACCGGGAGAAGCTGCTTAAAATCGAGTTTGACGTATGTTTCGTCAAAACACGGCCGTACAAGAGCCTTGCATACTTTTTGACAACGGAATTCTGCTTCATGTGCCGGTTCGGATGTTTACTGGCTTTTTACGACTTGTATCTTTCCCTGGCAAGGATGTTCCGCACCGTTTGAAAGTTAGCGTTGCACCTTCTGGCAACATCTCGAATCGAAAGACCGGGGTTGGCTTTAAAGCTCCTCAACACCTTGCTGCGCAGCTGACGATCACTGGTTTCAGTTTTTTCGTAGGTCAACGGATTCCTTTCCACACTCAGGGTTTCCTTGTAGGTTTGGAGCTCTCGACAAACTGTTGTTTTCGGCATTTTCAGCACTTGGAACCGGACCATTCCGGATTTTCCAGGTGTTTGTGCACAATATTTTCTCTTCTTTCGAGTTCCATTTGATTTTATGTCTGAACGCGATCGACTACTTTGATCAAACTTGCACCAGTTGTTCTCTATGGAAGTGTAAACAAACAACTGTCAAAGATTTTTGATTCCCAACACTAGAGGCGTGCTAGCGATGCGCGAGGGGCGTACCAATGTCCACTTTAAGTCTTATATTTGATGTCAAGCATCTCTAACTATGTAAATCGTTAACTTCGCACATGAAATAATACAAACATTAGGTTAAAGTTATAGAAAAGGGCCTCATCAGCATTTGTAAACAAACCTTTCTAAAGCACTTTCCTCTCAAAGCGAAGGCCGCCCATGCAAATCAACACCATCATCGTTTAGGGATCACTTTCCTCTATCCGATGATGCTGTTGGCTTACAAATGCTGCCCTTTTCTATTTTTGATGCAAATTTTTATGCAAATTGGAGAAGGTAGTTTAGGTCATTTTTTACTATTTGGCCTGGAAATGCTCATCGCAATGACAGCACCTAACACCTTCAATATTCCCCAGGAATGAACGACCTTGTGACTCCACACGACACCCGCAGCAGCGATGCAAGCAATCACTCGCTACGGGACACTGACGGTCCCAACAACAACTACATTCAACAGGACTCCTACCCACCTCCACCGCCGCAAGCGAACCTAACCGCCGTCCCACCAGTCCACCATCAATCGGACGCTCCCACTGGCGAGGATCTCCTCTCGCTGGAAGCGGAAATCTCCGAACTCCAGCGGGAAAATGCCCGCGTCGAGTCGCAAATGCTCCGACTCAAGACCGACATCAACGCGATGGAAACGCAGCTAGGTCACGCCGATCGGGTAAGTAGACTCCAAGCTGGTTGACGGCTTTGAGATCGCTCGCTCAAGCCACGATGTTTCCTCTTCCATCTACTGATCAATCGGGTTCTTTAATTTTTGAAGAGCCTCGTTTTCTGAGAACAACGATATTTTTTCGATTTTAAAATCAAGGTTTAAAGCAAAACAATCACTTCCCTGTTTGACACAAACCTAACCAAATGACAGCTCGCTCCCATACAAAGTAATCTACATTACAAATGGAACCGAAATTCAAAATTTCTACAAATTTGAAGCACTGGAACTATTTTAAATAAGTGTGATTACATTAGGAAGAGTCACCCCCTTAGCACCCCTTGGTGGTACCACAGACAAACAGACATAACACTCATAATCACATTCATCGCAAATAATGTTTTATTTGGGAATGTGCTTGCATTTGTCATGGTGACGCTACTGAAGCAATGAGTAAGCCACCACATCTCGAACTTATCAGTGATGCCAGTTCTTTTTCACGTCTAGTTAGTAGATGTCAGCTCTTGAAAATGATAAGTGGTCAAGGCATCCCACTGGAGACACTTGCCACATCTGACGAATACAGAAAAAAAAAAGTTGTTGAATATTACATCAAAACTGCTGCACATTAGTCATTCCGTTCCTAATATTACGTTGTATGATGTACACAGAATTCGAGAACAAATAATGTTGATGACTGTAATATTCAATCAACTTTTACCAGTTATTGATGTTCAATCCGAGGGGGGCGACACATCTAAATCTCAATTCTAGATGCTCAGCAAATCTCACTCTAGCGAATCAAACTTCGAAAAATATTCTTTAATTTCTCTCATATACTTGCATCGCGCATCATCTTTTAGCAGGATATCTTCATAATCGACATCAATCTTCTTTCTATCTACTCAGCGTGCGCGCAGCTAACCACAGCAAAACACAATTTTTCCTGCATCGTAGATAGAGTCGCCCCCCTCGGTTCAATCACAGAAAAATCACACTAAGCAAACCAAACAAATCCCTAAAAAAAAAGTCTGAGCTTCTGTGATTTTTTCCTACGGATCCGTATTTCTACAGAATTCAATCAATTCTATACATCTTTGGAAAGTTTCGTAGAACCGACATCACTGACTTCCATCTGTGTTGATTTTATTCAACACAACTGACGCGTTGACAGAACGAGGGAAAAGCAACTAGTTAAAAAATTGCATGAACGAGGGATGCTTCGGTTGCAAAACAATGCTTGGGAATGTGTATGATAGATGGTGCTAGTGCGCATGCAAAATACGCTTGACGATATTTGTTGAAGAATTTTCTTCTATGAGTTATGTCTGTTTGTCTGTGGTGCTACCATAGAAGTAACTCTAAGACCAGAAGGTCCCGAAAAAACGTGCTAAACTTTTTGACTCAGCTCTGGTACTATCTTCGGTCCCAAGCTAATCGATGCACCCCTCGAAACACAGGAAAATCCATGAACCCCTCATTTTATCGGTCAAACTTTCATTGCGAATCAAAACAAACAAAGTGTAGTACTAGACTTTAGACTGGAAGAGGTGTTCGTTCATCGATGTACTTGGAACCGATAGGATAGACCAGTGTGAGCCAATTTAAAATCGTTAGTTTCTACCGGTTGGTGGGGTGGTACTTTGTATGGGAGCGAGCTGTCATTTTGGTACGTTTGTGTCAAACAGTGAAGTGATTATTTTGCTTGAAATCTTGATTTAATAGTCGATATAGATATAAATTAGGTCGTAAAAAATATCGTTGTGCTCCAAAAACGAAACTCTTTCAGATGATGTACCGATAAATTTTTCATAATTAAGGATCCCAATTTAGCTCCTGTGGGGCGATCCATTCATTATGTCACGCTAAATTGAGGGCAAATTAACTCCCCTCCCCCCTTTCGTGACGTTTTTCCTATACCTCATGCATTGCTTGTCACAAAATCATAAACCCCCTCCCCGCCTTAGAGTGTGACGTAATATGTGCATCACCCCTGCTATATGATAAACTGCAACTGAGAAACCACTTTCAACCCTTAAGTCATAGCACAACCAAAAATGATAATCGCTTCTAATCTTGTTTTGGTTGACCCGACGTTTGTTGGGGTCCATAAAAAACGAAAGTGAAATGCGATCCGTCCTCCCCCTGGCTTTCCTCCACCCACGCACAAAAGGAAATGCGTTCAAACTGCTACCGAAATGGACGTAACGGCAAATCAAATTCAATAAAGTCATAAAAATAACAAAACTCGTCCGGCGATATGATCGCTCGTAAATTGTCTGTGTGTGAGCTTGGTTGGGTTTTCCCCCTTCGTTTTTTTATTCTGTTGGCTTTTTTTTCACTCATCACCCCTGTACAAATTATGATGTTTTTTTGCGCGTCGCTCCGGAGAAGTGACCCTTCTTTTCCCTTTTCCGAGTTTGTGTTTCCTTTCTGCTGTATTTTTTTTATTCAGTGACCAACCAGTAAGCGGAACTATCGTTTACATTTCCTGCAGAGAACAAACGGGAGTTAAGATAGTATCAATAAACACGGCGAATGTGGGTGCGGGTGCGGGTGGGGGAGGGCAGGGGAAAGCATAATTCTACTCAGCCGGATCATAATTGTTGCGGAAGGAGAAATGGCATCAATAAAACGATTATGATAATGTCAGTGGCTTCTGGAGGTTGTTTGTGACGTGGCAATTTGAAATAAAAACAGCTAGTGCGGGTGGAAATCAAAATTTAAACAAAACTGGAATTCTAACTCAAAAATAAGAAAATCCGTAAATCTGAAATTTGAAACCAACATGTGAGGCTTACTTCAGCTACATAAGAGAGCATGGACATGATTTTCAGTCGGAAATCAATATGAATAAGACATAGAATTAAGATATTCAATAAAACTGTCTTAGGATTATAGAAGTAATCATCAATCAATCAATCAATCATTTTTAAATTATGTTTATTTCTTGTAAATAGTTGTGTGGACATGTCTTTTCATCTTCATTTAATTAGAAATTTTTATAATTATTATTTAAGATCCTCGTGCTATCAAGCCTGTTTAGAGCATTCCCACTTTGGTGGGATAGGTTTGTTTGAAATTAAAAAAAGACTTCTTATGTAAAACTACTATTTACAACTACAACTAACCTACAACAACTATATACTAGACCTGTGTGCCGCCATGCCACGCCGCCGCCGCCGATGAAAAATCCACATCACCTTTTCAGTAAAATGGATCTTGAACGCGTTGAAATAAGAGCTTGTGTGTGTCATTTAGTTTTTTGACGTTTGTTCGCACTTTCTCGATCTAGCACGCAGGAATTAATCATTCGGATCGGATTTAAATAAAGGTGAATAAGTGACTATTATTAACAACACGTTGATATTTGACCTCTAACAGGTCCAAGTTGTGCGGGATTCTACGTTATATCCGAAATACATCATATTCAAATACAAAAACAAAAAGTTATATGACTGCTCTGTGTAAACATTCAAATATGTATCCGAGTAATGCAACGATAGCATTTATCGTTATAAACATATTAATAACGTTACTTACCTTACCAATCAGGCTAAGGCCTTGTTGTCCTCTGCTGTCCGAAGAAGTCGTCTCCACTCTACTCGATCCATGGCCACACTTCGCCAGCCTCGTAGTCTGCGAAGGGTCCGCAGGTCGCCTTCTACTTTGTCGATCCACCTTGCCCGCTGCGCGCCTCTTCTTCTTGTTCCTGTTGGGTCGCTTTCTAGAACCATTTTCACCGGGTCGTCGTGCGGCATTCTTACGACGTGCCCAGCCCACCGTAGTCGCCCAATTTTTGCAATGTGGACGATGGATGGTTCTCCCAGCAGCTGGTGCAATTCGTGTTTCATTCGGCTCCTCCACGTTCCGTCATCCATCTGCAATCCACTGTAGATGGTACGCAACACCTTCCGTTCGAAAACACCAAGGGCGCGTTGGTCCTCCACGAGCATAGTCCAAGTCTCGTGGCCGTAGACAGTCAACTTCGTGCGGTTGAGAATTTTATTCGACCTGAGCGTCCTCCGGAGTCCAAAATAGGCACGATTCCCTGCCATAGTGCGTCTTTGAATTTCTCTGCTGGTATCATTTTCGGCGGTCACCAGTGAACCCAAATACAAGAACTCATCGATCACCTCGATTTCGTCACCGTCAATCTGAACTCGGAGTGGGAGGCTAACATTGTCTTCCCTAGAACGCGTTGATGGCGAGTCCAATCCGCCTAGCTTCAGTCTGCAGTCTGATGTACGTTTCCGCCATCGTCTCAAAGTTCCGTGCCATGATGTCAATCTCATCGGCGAAGAATAAAAGCTGGATGGACTTGCTGAAGATCGTACCACTTGTGTTTATCGCTGCTCTTCTGATCACACCTTCTAACGCGATGTTGAATAGCAGACATGAAAGTCCATCACCTTGCCGTAGCCCCTTCGAGATTCAAAGGGACTCGAGAGTGTCCCCGATACTCGAACAACGCACATCACTCGATCCATCGTCGCCTTGACCAATCGCGTCAGTTTGTCCGGAAATCCGTACTCGTGCATAATCGGCCATAGCTGATATCGATTGATTGTGTCGTATGCGGATTTTAAATCGATGAACCAATGATGTGTGGGCACGTTGTATTCGCGGCATTTCTGCAGAACCTGCCGAATCGCAAAAATTTGGTCCGTGGTAGCGTGCGGGCACCCATGAATCCCACCTGGTATTGCCCCACAAACTCTCTTGCAAATGATGACAGGCGGCGGCATATAATATTGGAGAGTACCTTGTAGGCGGTGCTCAGCAGTGTAATCGCGCGGTAGTTGCAGCAATACAACTTGTCGCCCTTTTTGTAGATTGGGCATACGACACCTTCCATCCACTCCTCCGGTAATATCTCCTCCTCCCAAATCTTGGCAATTACCCAGTGCAGCGCTCTAACCATTGCTTCACCACCGTATTTCAATAGCTCACTTGGTAGTTGATCTACACCAGTTGCTTTGTTGTTCTTCAGCCGACCGATCTCCTCT